TTCAATGGAGGTGGTATCTTTTCTCTGACCAACATTTCAGTTCAAAAATCAGAAACAACCATGCTATCACTGTGGCGTTAAAAATTGTACCTGTGAATGAGGGCACTATACAATTTTTTTGGTGTGGGGCTACTTTGTTTTAACATGTAGTTTGATCTGGCAAAAAGCCAAACCAAACAAATAAAACCAAAATAACACAGAGGACTTTTGCCATGGCATCTAGAGTGCATCATAGTTAGGAACAGACATTGAAGCTTAACAGCTTTTTGTTCAAATTCAGGATTAATTAGCTCTGTGGCCATGAGCAAGTGATTGAATCCCCCTGAGCCTCTCTTTCTTTACCTAGAAGATAATAGTAATAAAACCTCTCTCATATGGTGGTTGTGATATTTCAAGGAGATACTATCTTCAAATTTCTTAGCACAGCACATGGTACAGAGTAAATGCTCAGCAAATTTTGGTGGTTGTGGTTGTGATTCATCATTTCCTTGGAAATTCAGTTATGGAGAGAAGAAAAAGAATATGAAAAACAGAGAAAGTGTGTGCTGTTCAATCCTGCTGATGCTGGTTATGCTCACATCCCTCAAAGGTGCTTGGTAGGGTGATGGAGGTAAATGATACATAAAGAACCACGTGAGACACATGTGGGGTGCATAGATGCCTAGAAGGTCAGGGAAGGTCACCAGCTCTAGGAACTCAGGGCTGAGTAGGACCACACAAATGCTGTCAGAAGCAGGAACAAATTTCCCATGAAGTATGGGAGGGCAAAATATCCACTGTGGGTTGTGTGTTGGGTGTTGTATATTCAGGAAGACCACCGGTGTCTCTCTCCTAGAGGACCCACAGAGAACCTCTACATTGTCTTGGTCATTTTCAAGGCTCTACAAGGACTATTTCCCCACTGCGGGATTTTCTGCACTGTTTGATAAAACAACACACACACAGACATGTGCACAGCTCCCTACTTACTTACAGAGCCTTCCTCTTTATGGAGCTCGCCAAAGAAACAGCCATTACCACCTAGTACTTCAATATCTCTTTAGAACGATGGTAAAGAAAAATATTATTCATGATGCTTATTTACCCGCCAAGGCAGGCTCTATTTGGGACTATTGTGGTAGGTTTAGGGGGTCCTTTGTAGCAAGGAAGAGAGATCAGTCTCAACGCCGAATGCAAGGGAAAGTGGGCATTTATAGCCAAGGAGCAGTGTGTGTGTGTGTGTGTGTGTGTGTGTGTGTGTGTGTGTGCGTGTGTAAGATGGAAAATTACTAATAGGAAACATTGAGGGTTGGAGGGATTCTGGCTAAACCAACTTGAAAGAATTCTTGTTGAAGACAGGACAGGATGACCAGACATCACCAGGGGGGTTTTGGGGAATGACCAATTGAGTCTGCTATCAAGAGTGGGGGATCTGGCTACATTGACTTGTCAGGTTTCTTGCCAAAATTGAGCTTTTGGAGATATGCTCAAAATTGAACCGTAGTTAAAAAAGAGCTCAGAGGATTTGGTCAGGGAGAGGAATCTCTGTCGAAGGTCACACCAGAAATCCATGCTTTCTCACCAAAATCCTCTCCTGCTTTGGGATGAAGTCTGATTGGCCATCAAATGGTGAATATTCAACTGTTCCATAGGCATTCAATTACTTCATGCTACTAGGAATATTCTCCTATCATAGAATAAGACTTTTAGCAAAGTTCTCAAAAGTCAGTACAACCTAAAGGGGATGTCTGTCTGCTTTGTTTGTTTTTGAGTTTTTCCCCCCTAAATGTCATATCATTCAGTATATATTTACAAGGCCCCTACACTGTCTTTGACAATGATAATTGGAAGAAAGACTTTTTAAAAAAGATTTTATTTATTCATGAGAGACACACAGAGAGAGGCAGAGACATAGGCAGAGGGAGAAGCAGGCTCCCTGCAAGGAGCCCGATGCATCTCAGGGCCCCGGGATTACGACCTGAGCCAAAGGCAGATGCTCAACTGCTCAGCCACCCAAGTTTCCCAGAAAGACTTTTTATTTTATTTTATTTTGTTTTTTTTTCCAGAAAGTCTTTTTAATGAAACTTCAAAAACACACATCTGCCATAGATTTTTAAAAATGCTATATTCTTAAAATGTCCGCTTCCTTATGACAAAAATCACCTTAGAATTTATGAAGGGGAAATAGGAAAGTGAAAATTGGTCAGGCTACTTACTCCTTAATTCTAATTTAGGGCAGCAGTAAAACTCTATCTGCTCAGTGCCCTAGCACTGATGAGGTTTCCAGGCAATTTTTTAGAAATGGGAGTAAACGACTGTGCTTTGGATCAAAAGGCCCCATGGGACAGAGCTCCACAAAGCATCGTGGACAATTCTTTCAGTGGGGGAGGAAAACAATAAACTAGAACTTCACGCTTTGCAAATGCCAACAGCCCTTTTGACTTATTTTCTTTTAGATTTTCTCCTTCTCGCATCATCAGAGAGCTTGAAAAACTGGTGTGAGAATGAGGCCTCAGGTAGAATGTTCCTTAGTTTGTGTTAATCGTCTCTCCAGGTTGAATGCCCCAGTCTTTCACTGCTGGTATCCTCTGCTAGAGGGCAGGGCAGCTCCTGCTTGGGACACAGCTTTTGCATATGTGATAGAGTAAGTTTCTCCTGTCTTTGATCCTTTCAGACTCCCACCTTGACTTTCTGTAAGGAGGAGCTTCCTTTTTTTCTTTCTTTCTTTCTTTTTTTTTTTGCACAAACACATCTAAGTAGTGCTAAATCCACATATATGCATTCAAATGATTTTTTAAGGGCACCAAAACAATTTAATGGGGGAAGGAAAGTGTATTCAATTCAATTAATTGTGGTGGACAACTGGATATCTATAAGGAAAAATAAAGAAGCTTGACCTATCTCACATCTTCCACAAAAATCAACTGAAGATGGATCACAGACCTAACTGAAAGAGCTAAAATGATAAATCTACTTGAATAAAACATAGAGATATCTACACAACCTTGAGGTGGGTACATATATCTTAGAGAAGACATAAAACCCACAAACCATAAAAGAATAAACATTATTAAATTAGGCTATCAAAATTAAAAACTCCACTGCATTAAAAAACACCATCAAGGAAATTGATAGGCAATTCACATACTGGGAAAAAGAATTCACAACACATATATATGACAAATGACTTGAATCTAGTTATAAAGAACTGCAACTCAATAATAAAAAAGACAGCCAAATAAAAAATGGACAAAAGACTTAAACACTTCACAAAGGATGATAATGAAATGGCAGTAAGCTCATGATAAAGCACACAATATCTTTCAGAAAATGCAAATTAAAAGACAGTGAGAGATTGCTGCACACCCACGAGAATGGAGAATATGAGATGTAATGTGGGGAAATTGGAACTCTCATACCTTGCAAGAGGGAGAGCAGAATGGTACCTCCTGTTTGACAGTGTCTTAGAAGTTAAACATACATTTACTCTATGATTTAAGTGTTTATCCAAGAGAAATGAAAACAACACATACAAGAATATTTATAGCAGCTACATATACAGTAGTCCCAAACTGGAAACATCCTGCATGTCCTTCAATGAAATGGATTAGCAAATCATGGCACATCCATACTGTGAAGTATTGCTTATAAGTACAAAGGGAAGAAACTTAATATAAGCCCAATATAGATGCATCTCAATAATATCATGCTGAATGGAAGAAGTTAGATGTCCCAATTCCCTAAACCTACAGGTGTGATTCTACTGATATAAAATTCTAAGTGAGGCAAACTTTGGTAAGGTGATGGAAATCAGATGAGTGGTGACTTCTGGGGAGCAGGAATCAGGTGGGGAGGAATGGAGAGACTTTTTGGGGCAACTGTAATGCTTTGTGCTTCGATGCATATTTGTTAAGACTGACTGGACAGTACACTTATGATTTGGACATTTCAGGGGTGCCTAGGTGGCTCAGTGGTTGAGCATGTGCCTTTGGCTCAGGTTGGGGTCCTGGGGTCCTGGGATCGAGTCCTGCATCAGGGTCACTGCAGGGAGCCTGCTTCTCCTTCTGCCTATGTTTCTGCCTTTCTCTCTGTGTCTCTCATGAATAAATAAATAAATAATCTTTAAAAAAATCTGGACATTTCATTGTATGTAAATTAAACCCAATTAAGGAAAAGAGAGTTATTGGAGGAAGATGATCGAAAGGTACAAATTTCCAAGTATAAGATAAATGAGAACTGGGGATATAATGAATATAATGTGATGACTATGGTTAACACTGCTGTATGCTACACAAAGGCATGCCTTGGAAGTATTGAGGGTTTGTTCTAGACCACTTCAATAAAGCAAATTCATAATGAAGCAAGTGAAATGAATTTTCTGTTTTCCCAGTGCATATAAAAGTTATTTTTAAGCCCAGAATATTCAAATAAATTCCATACCATAAAAATTATGTTCATGCTTTACTACAGTCTACTATATTGCAACTATTACATGTGCAATAGTATTGTGTCTAAAAAACGTATTAATTTAAAAATATTCCATTGCTAAAAAAGTGCTGACCAACATCTGAGTTTTCAGCCATTCAAAATTTTTTGCTGGTGGAGGGTCTTTCTTTGATGTTGATGGCCACTGATGGATCAGGGTGGTGAAGGTTGGGGTGGCTGGGGCAATTTCTTAAAATAAGACAACAGTGAAATTGGCTGCACAAATTGACTCTTCATAAAAGAACAATTTCTCCATAATATGTTGATGTTGTTTGATAGCATTTTAACTGAGGGTAGAACTTCTTTCAAAATTGGAGTTGATTCTCTCAAACCCGTTACTACTTTATTGGCTAATTTCATGTAGTATTTTAAGTCTTTTGTTGTCATTTCAATTGTCTTTACAGCATCTTCACCAGGCATAGATTCCATCCTAGCATGTCATTTTCTTTCCTTAACTATAAGAAGCAACTCATCTGTTAGATTTGATCACGAGATTAGAGCAATTCAGTCACATCTTCAGACTGCATTTTTTAAAAAATTTTTTAACTTTATTTAATAGGTAGGAATAGTCTCAAAAATCTTTCTCTTCATCAGATGTTTGACCCCCTTGCAAAACTTTTGGTCGCCCAGCTTGAATGTGGAGCTTTACTCCATCAATAATATGCTTTTCTTGTTGTAGTGCATCCTGAAGATATTCTTCTGAAGAAAAATGAACCCAACCCATACCTCTATGAAATCCTGTCTCTTTGTCAAAAGGTACAGTGCACTTTCGTACATGGCCAAACTGTGCAAAGTGTTCTCTCAGCTCACTCGAGGCCGCAGTCCAGGGAATTTTTCTGACAAAAGCCACCAGCTGGCCAATCCTCACATGCAGCGCCACAGTGCCCCTCGCTGCTGAAGCCGCCTTCTTTAGATTTCAGACTGCATTTCTAATTCTAGTTGTCTTACTATTTCTGCTATATCTGTAGTTACTTCCTCCACTCAAGTCTTGAACCCCCCAACGTCATACGTGAGAGTTGGAATCCACTTCTTCCAAACATCCTTTTGATGTTGATGTTATGACCTCTTCCCATGAATTACAGATATCCTTAATGGCATCTAGAAAAAGCCTGAAATATCAGGAGAACTACTAAAATGCACACAGAGACACAGAGTGAGCAAATGCTGTCAGGAAAATGATACCAACAGACCCCCTCAATGCGGGGCTGCTGCAAACCTTCAATTTGTAAAGTGCAGTAAAGTGAAGTACCATCAAATGAGGTATACCTGTATGAAAGCTGTTGAAGAGTTCATCCTAAGAATTCACACCACAAGGAAAAAAAGCATTTTCTTTTTTTTTGTTTTTTGTTTTTAGATTGTATGTATATGAGATGATGAATGCCAACTAAATATTGTGATGATCATTTCACAACATAGATAACTCAAACCATTATCCTGTATACCTTAAACTTATACAGTGTTGTATGCCAATTATATTTCAATGAAACTGGATGGAGGAGAAGGGAAGGAAGTAAAAATAAAAAGCAAAGCCAAAATAATGCCATGCTGATCATTGGTAGCAAACAGTTTTATTTGCCTTGCAAGCGCTCCCTACAGGAGATGGAGCACAGTGAGCCTACAATAGTAGAGCTAGATGGCCTAGGTACTAGGACAGGGCACTTCCTATAGGCCTAACCTAAAGGAACAACAGAAAAATGAGTCAGTGACAGGGGGTGGGTAAGGGTAAGAAAGAAAGAGGATCAGGATTAAGATCTTATTTGCCTAGCTGAGATGGATTCTGAAAAACTGAAAGATGATGGTGGGAATCATAAAGAAATCTGTTACAGTGGTATCTGAATATGATTGGCTACTAGCAAAATGGCTTTCTTTGTGCTCTCAGGCTATGCTTACAAGTGGTATTGCTGGGCAGAGCCACTGGCCTAGGAGATGGTCAGTAAATACTTGCTGAAAGCATGTTCCTCTGGAGGTGGCTTCTTCCCTACCTTAATCTACCTTACCTGTTTGATTGATTGATGGATTTAAAGTATTTTATTTATTATTCATGCAAGACACACAGAGAAAGGCAGAGACATAGTCAGAGAGGCTCCTTCCAGGGAGCCTGATGCAGGACTCTATCCCCGGACCCTGGTATTAAGACCTGAGCCAAAGGCAGATGCTCAACCACTGAGCCACCCAAGCCATCCTACCTTTCCTGTTTTAAACTCTTCTTCCTGCCTCAACAGCTACTCCTGGGACAGGCATGGTAAAGGCCAAGTTGCAAGGACATGCCTAAGGAGACAATGTTGGAAAAGGATGCTGATGTAGGTTATGCCGGTCATAATCAGCCCAGGCTGCTATAACAAAATACCATAGACTGGGTGGCTTAAACAACAGATAGTTATTTCTCACAGTTCTAGAAACTAGAAGACCAAGATCAAGGTACAGGCTAATTTGATTTTGGTAAGGATTCTGTTCCTGGCTTGTATACAGCCACCTTCTTGCTGTATCTTCCACACAGCCTTTTTCTTCTGCCTTCAGAGAGAGAGAGAGAGAGAGAGAGAGAGAGAGAGAGAGAGAGATCCAGTGTCTCTTCCTCTTTTTATTAGAACACTAATCCTATCAGAGTCAAGCACTACCTTTATGCCCTCATTTAAACTTAATTATTTCCAAAGGCTCTATTTCTGAATATAGTCATAGTGGGGCATAGAGCTTCAACACAGGGATCTTGGCAGGACACAAATATTCAGTCTATACCACGCATAAAGGAATGACCTTTGTAAAGACTACTGGGTATAGGGGAGATTCTCTTTCTCCCACTGGTGAATGGCTTTTGGACAATGGCCTCTTTTCTCCATTACCCAAACTGAACTTGAATCAGAGAAAAGCACTTTTAGTTCCTTACCCTCCTGAACTCTCTAGTCCCTACTGGGGTGGCTCCTTTCCAGGTACCCAAATCATTTATCATTAATTAAATAGCTTGCTGAGAATGCAAAATGTTCTAAGTCAAGGCATGGATCAAAATCACTTAGAGAAAGTTAAGGCTTCATGCTTTTAATTTACTTTCATTCATTCAAGAGTATGGTTGGTGTGACACCCCTCTAGGGATTTGTCACATGTGCAACAGAAGAAAAAGTGAGCTGTATCCTGAATAAAGGCTAGAGGATCAGAAGTGAGGAGACATCGAATCATTGTCTACACCTGGGAAAGGAATTCTGAGTGGTTAAGATCAGCTTGGTCTTTCTGAACACTCTTTTTTTTTTAAATATTTTACTTATTTATTCATGAGAAAGAGAGAGAGAGAGAGAGAGATCGAGGCAGAGACACAGGCAGAGGGAGAAGCAGGCTCCATGCAGGGAGCCCGACGTGGGACTCGATCCCGGGTCTCCAGGATCAGGTCCTAGGCTGAAGGCGGCACTAAACCGCTGAGCCACCCGGGCTGCCCCTTTCTGAACATTCTTGAACAATTTGTAGTGAGGCTTCAGAATTATTTATGGTCCCTTCCACCTCGACTTCGGTTTCTTGCTGACACCATAAGCGACTGACATTTCCTGAGCTGGACTTTTTTTCTCACTGCTCACTGGAAGTGGCATGGAGGCCAGCTTGTTTTCCTTTCTTCCCTGGTCTGCTCTGCTCTGTGCAAGCAGCTGAAGGAGCTTCTTGTGCAGAAGCAGAGCTCAGATGGGCCTTCATGTGAGGCTGGGAGGGCCTTGTTTGAACTTTTTGGATTCAGCTGGATTTTAGCCTTGAATTATTAAAAATGAGTATCGATTGCAGGAATTAATTGTAGTGTTTCTAAAATCAGTAGCAATATTAAGTCGATAAGCCATTAAAAAAAATTACTCACTACCGATCTTGTGAGGAATGTTTACCTTTTTAGCCATTGTTTTGACCTTTAGGATTTTATACTATGGAAAAGAATCTGTAAATACAAACCAACAATCCCCCTACACAAATAAAAGTCACTGTACCAGACCCTTCCTAGGGCAAGAGAGCAACTGAGGCAGCCCAGGAGAGCCTGCCATCATGATTCTAGTAGCAGAAGCAAAATGGAAAAGAGGAGAAAGATTTACTTACATCTCTGCCCCGATGATTTCTGACTGTCCCACCCACCCTTTCCCCAACACTGAGTTTCTAAGTTATCTCCTAACTTTTTTTTTCTTTCAGATAAATTAACAAGCAGGTCTAAAAGAAAAAAAATAAATAGTGCTTTTAGTAAGCATTTGCTTTTCTAAAGGGTCTGTTGAGCCCAGGTGAATATTCAAAGGATGAAGTTGACTTGATGCTGTCCTTTCTGACCAAACTTGAGTCAAATTCCTCTGACCCCCTGGCACAGTTCTTGTGGGCTGGTAAGTGTAGTCTTGGCAAGACTCCTACTAAGTCACTGTAGAGAGAATCCCTCATTTTTGATAGCTGATATAGCTGATATCTGATCAAGTTTCTCATCCAGCACTCATATCTGATCTTGTCTCGCCCTCAGCAAGAATCCTGTTAAATTGGTTTAACAAGAAACCTCCTCTCCTGATGTTTCCTCATTTCCTTTTTTTATCCATCCCCCCACCTTAGCTATAAATCCCTACTTGATCTTGTATTCAAAATTGAGTGAGCTCTCTTTCCCCATTGCACTCACGTTGTCATCTGTTGCAATAGTCTTGAATAAAGCCTTCCTTACTGTTCTAACAAGCATCAGAATAACTTTTTCTGAGAGCTCCAGGAGGGTAAGAACTTCTTTGCTTTTTTCCAGTAATGCAACCCTAGTATTTTTTTTTTAGATTTTATTTATTTATTCATGAGGGACACAGAGAAAGAGAGAGGCAGAGACACAGGCAGGGAGGGAAAAGCAGGCTCCATGTAGGGAGCCTGATGTGGGACTCGAACCCGGGTCTCCAGGATCACACCCCGGGCGGAAGGCGGCGCTAAACTGCTGGGCCACTGGGGCTGCCCGCATTCCTAGTATTGGGGGTGTCAGGAATCTGGACTTCTTTCAGTGAAGATTTGTTGATAAACAGATACTGACACAAATAATCTTATTTGCTCATCTGGTCCCCCTTTTATAGAAGAAGAAAAGGATGCTTAACCGGTTTAAGAGATTTATTTCTTATCTACCAGCTAGTAAGAAACATTCCAGGGAGGGACTGTTCGTTGCTCTGTCCTATGTTATAAATATCTTCTAATATAAGCATAGTTTAAAAAATAGCTTCGGTGGGGGTGTCTGGGTGGCTCAGTCGGTTAAGCATTTGCCCTCAGCTCAGGTCATAATCTTGAGATCCTGGGATCAAGCCCCATGTTGGACTCCCTACTCAGCAGGGAGTCTGCTTTTCCCTCTCCCTTTATTAGTCCCTGCCCCTCCCACCCCGCCTCCCCCGCTCATGCTCTCTCCCTCTCAAATAAATAAATAAAACCCTTTTTCGAAAAAAAAGATGTAGCTTCAATGGAGACAAATAGACAATAGCAGACAATAGCCAAGAGCTACGTTTATTGAAAATTTGCTACATGTAGGCCTCTAAGTATACATTAACTTTAATTCTCACAGCAACCTAGTGATATAGGAGCTATGATTATTATTATTTTACTTGTTTTATTTTTTAAAAGAACACATTGCTAAATTTCTCTCTTTGCAAGTTTGCTTTTAGTAAAAGCCCTTTGAGCAAAAGATACGACTCTTAGAGATGTTAGTAGTTTAAAAAAGAAAAAAGAAAAAGAGGTCTCCATCTAACCAACCGCCCAGGTGTCAGACGGGTCTCAGAGTCTCCCATTGGCCTCCGTTTCATTGGTTTCAAATGCCATGACTCTATTTCAACACAATCATCATTGAGCAGATTAGCAAGAAATTTGAGAAACATTTTCCAGGTCTTGTGGTCAATACAAAAATAAAGTTAATGAATTATTATTGAAATAAATAGTGAATGTGAATGTTTAATAAGAGAGCTG